GGAGGGAGCCCGATTCCTGGTGGAATTGGCCATAGGTTAGCTTGCTGCTGGGACCAACTTCTCATGGTCCCTCCCCACAGCAGGCTGCCTGCCCCTCATGGCCTCGAATGCTGCCTAGGTTGAGGGACCCTACCCATGCAAGAATTCGTGCACCGGGCCACTAGTTTACATTATAATATAATTTAAAATATTCACTTCTGTTTTGGGTTCACACATTGATTATTGAGAAGTCTGTTGCTTTATTTGCAAAAGGTAGAGATACAGGTTATCTTTGACTATAAACCTGGAGACTCCCAGAGGCCCCAGGAGCTTTGGGTGTTCCACATCAGGCCTCCAGCCTGGGGCACTAGCCAAGTATCCATGGGGCAGCATTCTGGCCTTTCCGGGTATATGCAGGTCCCCTTCCTGAAATGTGAGGTCTGCGTCCTTCCTGGGCTAGTGGACGGACAGAGAAGCATACACAATGTGCTCATCTGGGGGCTCATCAGATGGGGAGAAACGGGGTGCAGTTGTCTTCTCATTGAGGGCCAAGAGGTTCAACTGGGCATAGGTCACATACTGGGGGGTATCACGTGAAGCAGCCTAGAGCAGGGCAGAAAGGAGGATGAAACGTGGTTGGGGTTGGGGAAAACATGGAGGTCTGGAGAGGACGGGACCCACCTGACTGCCCATCTCCCTGTCCTCTTCTGCTTGTCTGCCCCTTGTGTCCAGCAATCCCCCCAACAGAGATGAAAGAGAGGTGGCCATTCGCTGCCTGGGTCTTGGTCTGGAGCGGTTCACCTGGGCATACGTCACTCCCTGGGGGCCTTCATCCTGCTGGTTCTGTTGGAGACAGTGAGACAGCACAGTGACTCCTTGATTCCACAGTAGAAATCCTCCTGTCAATTATCCTCATGTTGCCAGAGAGATGGTTTACACTTTAGATAGATCAGGTCCCTCTCCTGGTGGAATCTGCAGGGCCTTCCCGAGCCTTGGGGGCTCTGGATGCTTCTGTGGTTCTAACTCTTATCCTAACGTGCTCTCTCTTGCTCACTGGGCTCCAGCCTCATGGCCCATCCTCCTGAAGAAGCATGTCCTGCCTCAGGACCTTTACACCTGCTCTTTCCCTGTCCCCCCACCATGCACTCTATCCCCTCCTCTTGCTTTGTTTCTTCACAGAACTTTGCTCTCTGGGACACTGTCTACATATTGCTTTCCTCACCCACAGGTGAGCTCGAGGCGTGTGGAGACAGTGTGGCTCCGGGCTGCACAATGGCCCATAAATGAAGCCAATAAACAGTGAGCCCTGTCACATCTGCTGGGTGAATGAATGAAGGGGATCGAGGGGGCCTGTGGGTGAGTCATTCATTCCTGCCTCCTCCTGAGACCTGGGGCTGCACAAGGTCAGACAGAGGACGAGGGGCCGGCACAGGGGACTATGTAGGAGGGGCCATGAGGTCACAAGGAAACCAGGAGGAGTGAGTCACAGCAGGAGGACCTGGGGGCCCAGAGGGGAGGTCAGTGTGGACGCTGCTGAGAAGCAGGTGAGGTGGAACAGGGAAGGGTCCATTGGATTAAACTGGGCAACAGAATGTCCTTGGTGGCCTGGACAGGAGCAGGGGTCTCACCTGAGGGTCCAGCTCCACGCTCTCCCCAGGCTGCAGGTCCTTCACAGAAGCATCTGCTGGGGCAGAACGGGGGTGTGTCTCCTGCCAGGTCCCCAAGATCTCAGGGCTGCAGACCCCGCCTGCTCCCAGATGGACCACTAACCCAGGGTGAGGTGCAGAGCCCGCTCACACAGTGTGAGTCTCAGTCCTTCTCACCCCTGACCCCAGCCTCCCAGCCCATCTCCTCCCCGATCATCCCCTGAAATCCCTGTCTCCCCTCCCCCAGGGCAGCTGTCTCTTCCTCTCACAAAGAGCCTCTTCGTGGGCGTCCACAGCTGGGCTGGAGCTGGGGGAGGAGAGGGGAGTGTGAGGGGCAGAGCTGGGCCATGGGTGGTGGAGGTCTCGGGTCTTTGTGGCAGGAATTACCTGCTCTGTGGGCCTCTGCCCTGGCCCTCGGGGTGTGTGGTCCCTGCAGGGGGTTGGACATGAGCTCCTCTCAGGGCTGGTCCAGAGCGACAGAATCAGCCCTGTGAGATAGGACCCCTCCCCACTGTGATTCCACAGGAGAGAAGGAAAACGTAACACACACGTGTGCATATGTTTTATGAGATTCAAAACGGTGAAAGAGGACCTTGTATTTGTGCTGAGATTGTTTTCTTTCTATATTTCCTGATTTCAAAATCTCGGGAAATCCTTTTCTCAGCTGACCTTCTCCATCTATTTGGTATTCCTGTGGCAGGTGCTCTGAGCCCCCGTTCTGTGAAGCAGGTCACCCCACTCTCTACTCACGTGATGTCCTGTCTTTGCTCTGACATCGGTTTCGGAGAAGGAGGAACAGGACAGAGAGCAGCAGGAACAGGGCTACCAAGACCCCGATCAAGATGTACACTTTCCAATTGGGACCTAGGACATGAGGACATCATGAATGAGGGACCTTGTATTTGTGCTGAGATTGTTTTCTTTCTATATTTCCTGATTTCAAAATCTCGGGAAATCCTTTTCTCAGCTGACCTTCTCCATCTATTTGGTATTCCTGTGGCAGGTGCTCTGAGCCCCCGTTCTGTGAAGCAGGTCACCCCACTCTCTACTCACGTGATGTCCTGTCTTTGCTCTGACATCGGTTTCGGAGGAGGAGGAACAGAAGGACAGAGAGCAGCAGGACCAGGGCTACCAAGACCCCGATCAAGATGTTCCGTTTCCATTCGGGACCTAGGACATGAGGACATCATGAATGAACCAATGATAACATTTAATGAGCACCTACTGTGTGTGAGGCAAATGCTGGGGTCTTTCCCTTATCTCCTCTCACTACACAGCAGTTATGCACCAGGGATTGCTGACCTCACTACCCACTTCACTAAGTCTCAGAGAGGTTAATCACATGTCCCAGGTCACCCAGCCTGGACAGGGAGGGGCTGGGACTGGAACCCGGGAATGTGGGTTCCCTGTGCTGTCTTCACACTGCCCGCCACCAACCTCCCAGGTGGACAGCAGCTCTAGCTATGGGCTCCTCCTCTATAGGGCCCTATCCAAGTCTCATCTGGAGTTGAGGGTCCTTCCTCATTACTCGCCCCCAGCACAGCAGGGACAGAAGGGGCAGTATGGGCTGGACTGTGGGTCTCTCCCTCATCCATCCCCACCCTGCAGGCCCTGATGCCCCTTGGGAAGGTCGGGCCGGGCTGGGTGCTCTGACTTCCTGAGCTCTGTGAGGCCCTATGACCCCTCATCTCCTAGGAGCCTGTGAGCAGGATGGGACCAGGAATGAGCAGACAGGAACCTGGCACTCAGAAAAGAGAAGGGACCGCCCAGCCCCACAGCAGGAGCAGCAGAGCCAGGAGCTGAACCAGGGCTGATCCACCCTGTTCCCTCCTCTGAGCTCAGCCTGAGCTCAGGGGTAGGACTGGGTGCCTGGACCCTTGTACTGTCTGTCCCTCCCTGTACATTGTCACCATCACTGAGACAGAGGGGACAGGTCCCATAACTTCACATCCTAGACTCGGCTTCCCTGTGAGTCCCCTCTCCCAGGAGGTCAGGGCCAGACAGGAAATCTAAGCTCTGGACAAGGATTCTTTCCTTTTACACTTGGAGACACTGAGGCCCAAACAGGGGAAGGGATGTCCAAGTCAGCAAATCCAGAGGGGCCTGAACCCCTTAAGCTCAGCCGCTATCCGCAAGGAGGCATCCACCACCTCCCCATAGAGCCCCTCACTTACCCATCTCCGTGCCTGACCCTGTGGGTGGGAGAGACCAATCCTCAGAGCCTCCTGAAATGAGGATGGGGCAGGAGAGGTGGGGGCTGTAATCTCCCCACATGAGCTCAGCCCCCCCTCCCCCAGCCTATGCCCCCACATCTCCCTCTGCCATGACCACCCCACCCATCACTGCCACTGACCCTGGCACTCCAACCCCCCTGGGACACAAGCTGGTCCTTGAGGATCTGGGTCACTCCATCCCCTGACAGACTCTCAGGACTTGCTGGGTGGGCTGTGCTCCCTCTGAGCAGAGTTCCCCGGGACTCACCAGCTGTGGAGGTGGGCCCTGTGGGTGCAGGGCTGGGGCCTCCTGAGGGTCCTGGAAATGAGGACAGGAAGAAGGTGAGAGGCTTTGGCTGAGCCTGGAACCATTTCACACAGACACCCTCTTACATCTGTGCTGTGACCCTTGAAACCCACCCACTGCCTCAGTATCCAGGAGAGGAGAAGAAAGTGGAGGGGCTGGGAAGCCTCTAAGGAAAAAATATCCTAAGGGTGACCATCCCAAGAGACCCCCACTCCCTTTCAGCCCATAATTCTGCTGGGGACAGGACCCTGAGCTGACACCTCAGTACACAGGGTCAGGGGCCCTCACCTGAGACCAGGAGCTCCAGGGGCTCACTGGGGAGTGACAGTAGGAAGGGGTAGCTGCTGTGTGAGCTGTAGCACCTGTAGGTGCCCCCGTGGGCTGAGGTCACAGGACTCATGGAGAACTCTGCCTGGTACTGCTGAGCTCCGGGCTTTGATCTCAGACGCAGGGGGGGATCGGCTGCCCCCTCCTTGGACAGAAGGAAAGTGTCCATCCAGCTTTGGGACTGACACAGCAAGGTCACGTTCTCTCCTGAGGCCACCCCAGGGCCTGGCCGCACCGATAGGAAGGGTCTGTCAGCCAGATGTCCTAGAGAGAGGGAGAGAGGGTGAGTGCTGCCGGCCCAGCTTGTTCTGAGCTGAGTTACCAGAATTCACTCTAAGGGCCCTCCTCTCTGTCAGTCTCTGTTTCTCTGAGTCTCCCCTCTCCCCTCCAACCCCCTGTCTCTCTCTGTCTCTCTCCCTCCCTGGGGCCCTGCACTGTCATTCTGGCCTCACCACCTGAGACTCGCAGGAGGGCCTGTGCAGAGTCTGGGTCCCTGACTTAACCCACTGGCTCCTCACCTGCCACCAGGATGTCCAGGGGGTCGCTGGGGGCCGACCACTCAGAGGAGAGGTTGTATCCACCGTAGCATCTGTACCGGCCCCCGTGGGAGCTGCTCACAGTGTCCAGGGGGAAGTGGGCCTGAGAGAGTCCAGCCTGGGGCTGCAGGACAAGGCTCTGGGGGAGGCCCTGTTTCATCTCCTTGTGCAGAGCAAATCTGTCATAGCCGACATCAGAGCGACACTGGAGGGTCAGGTTCTGTCCAGAGGCCACGATGGGGCCCTGCTGGCTCAGGAGGGAGGGCTTCCCAGACTCACCTGGGGAGACCAGACATGAATTACAGGAGCTGCTCCTCCCATAAACACCTTCTCCTGTCCTGGCCCATAAGTCTCACTGTCTCTCACCCAGTCTCTGGCCCAGGTGCCCCTGTAGTCACCTCACCATCTCCCATGGGGCTCCACTCACAGCAAAGATGCCAATTATGTATCCAGTGCCTCAATCCTTTGATGAGACAATAATGGGACTTACCTGGAACCAGGAGCTCCAGGGCATCACTGGGGAGTGACCACACGTAGGGTCTGTTTCTGTAACATCCATAGCATCTGAACGTCCACCTATGTGTGGGGGTCACGGGGCCCACAGGGAACAGGGCCTGGGATTGCCCACTGGGCTGTCGCTGTGAGTCCAGGGTCCAGGAGAGCCTGTGATCTCCTTCCTTAGTCAGATTGAACGTGTCAAACCCCTGCCCTGAGCCACACTGGAGGGTCACCTTCCCTCCTGAGGTCACGACAGGGCTGGGCAGGGCTGAGAGGCTGGGTTTGCTGTAGGATCCTAGGAGAGGAGGAGGCAGCGTGTTAAATGGGCTCACACCTCCCTCATGCCCCCCAGGGCTGGGCTGTGAGAGGGAGACACCTTGAGATCAGACCCCCTTCCTGAGGGCACAACCTGAGGCTGGGACCCCTGAGTGTCCTCTCACCTGTCACCACCAGCTCCAGGGGGTCACTGCGCTCTGACCGGCCACTGGGACCGAGATAGTAACAGCGATATCTCCCTGCATCA